ACAGTTGCCAGTGATGATAGAAATCTGATTTGGAACACAGGTGGAGATGGGTAAGAAGTGGAAAAGACCGACTGTGGAGCAGAAAAGTCTGAGGGTTTTAGGAGGCTTCTGGATTAGAGGGGCAACTCATGTGGGTATCTAGTTTGCCCTGGTTGAAATCTGTTTTTAGGAGGACTCCACTGTGAGGATTACATATTCTTCCTGCTTCTAACTATAACACATTCATCATTGTGGACACAGGCTCTGCTTTTGACTGTACTTAAGAGAATTTTGTTCCATCATCCTCATCCAGCTACAGGACCTCAAAGCCACCATGGCTTAGGTCACTGGCCAGTCCTTCAGACTGTCTTTGAGTCAGCCCTGGTCTAGTGCATGAATAGATTTTACAGAGCATGAAGAATTGCATGAGATCAACAAAAGCAAGCTGTGCAGACAATCGATGCGTGTGTACAACCTGTGTGTACATGTGTGCCTGCCTCTGTGTGTGTGTGTGTGTGTGTGTGTGTGTGTGTGTGTGTGTGTGTGTGTGTTCTCCAGCTATTCTCCTTTACACATACCTGTATATATGCTTTAATTCTACCAAGCCCAGTCCTATGGCAGTGTCTTTTAATATTCTCCCAAAAGCTGCACACCATTATCTTTCTATTCAAAAAATAAAAACAAGATAAACAATAACAAAAACAAAAAAACAGAAGGAGAAGCAGTAGTGAGCCCACAGGGTGCAGGAATTTTTAGTCAGCTGCCACACAAAGCAAGCTCACCTTTCTTTCAGAGGCATCAGGACCAGAGACTGTGGGGGCATTGAGCAGCACAGGGGGAGGGTCTGAGAACAAGGGTAGCTATGTGCAGTTGGCCAGAGCTGTAGTTAAACGCCCAGTGGCATTTATTCTGGGCATAGAGGCACCCACCTATACGCATGACTGATTTAACTAATATAACAAGTTCTTTCTTAGTTTTGCACCTTGGAGACCATGAAAAAAAGAGGCAAAAGAAATCCAAAGTAAATGAATAAAATCAGTATTTTCTTTTACTGGAAAATACGAGAGCTATACAGTAAACCCTTACAGTATTTCCATCTGTTGGGTAGATGAATCAAGAATAGTTTTATATTTATAATTACAGAGAGAACGTGTGAAAGACCCTTATTCCTTTTTTCCCTTCTCTTAAAAACTGGTGAATAGGGCCTTTAGTACTCAATCTTAAATGAATGTTGTATATTTTGGCATGGTGTCAAAGTGTTAACAGAACTAATACTATGGTCTTCCAAGGGGGAAAAACAAATAGTTTAACACTGAGGTATTTTGAAGCAGGTGCTCTGTACAATTAAAGACCATTGTGGCTTTTGAAGGCACCCTTCCAAGAACCAGAAATCTGAAAAATGAATGCACTGTCAGTTTGATCAAATATCTGGGGTTTCTGCTTCTGTGGGGGAAAGAAACCAGAAGTTAAAGATCACAGAAAAAAAGTTATGCTTAGTTAAGCATAATATACAAAACACTTCTTAAAGACTACCAGTGTCCTAAGGAAAAACTGTACATAGTCTTTAGTTATTCAGATCCAAATAAAGCTCTAGTAGTTCAACTACTTATTGGTTTTCACTTCATACATCAACAGGATACATTAAACACATGCTGTGTTAGCTTTTCCTGGGGAGATACAATCACCACAGATGGTCATCCCACAGACAAAGAGTTCATCAAAGTCCAACTTGGGGAAATAAATGAATTCATTGGGTTTTCTTACAAAAGATGGATGAGGGGTTCTTTTGGGGAGTGTGGGTGACCCCAAAACAGCTGCATTACCACTAAGTTCCACTCTATCATTTGACCTCCTGGAAGCTGCATCATGGCATCCTGCCTTCAATCAACCTTTCACATCTACATACAATCCAACATCTCTCAAGCTCACTCGCCACTGGGGGTAGGAAGTGACAGCCTTTGGAATCTCAGACATGCTTTCCTGACCCTCCAGAGGGACAGTCAATAACTCCATCACTATGACCAAAGCCCTGGCAAGCACTGTTTTGTTTCTCAAGGCTACAGGGCAAAGTCCCCAAATGCCACTTTGTTATGATCATAGGAAAAAGTTCCATATAAAAATACTTGAACAAGAAGGTATAAAAATCAGAATTTGGGGTAGACAAAACTGAAATTGGAATTTTGTAATATAAAGGAAAGTTGAAAGGGGCACAAGCAAACAAATATTAATAAGATAGGAGTAAAGAAAAACAGAAGATGAGAACGGAAGAAATTGGGGTAAGAGGAAAGCCAAGAAGAACATAAATAAAAACTTCCATATCAGGGAAAAGAAATCAGAAGAATGAACCACTTGACCATCTAGCAAAACCCAATCGTTGGACTTGACAGGCGAGAAGGCCCCTGCTATAGTCTATAGATGGCCTTCTGGAGTGACGCCATACTGGTGGAGATGAGGTCACTACTTCTGCTCTAGATGTCACACATCCTTGTCCTCGAGTGAGAAATGCTCAGCAACCCTTCAGGAGAACCAAGGAGATTATGCAAAAGTTCAACACAGAATCTTGTAAGAGGAGCCAAAGAACAGTTGAGAACAACAAAAACTCCCCTGGCCCATGTCCCAAAGGTGGGGAACTCAGGAGAGCCAAGAAAACAAGGCACATTCCTCCTGTGGGAGCTCGGAGCTGTGGTGTTTCCAGAATCCTGAGGATGTGGCTCTGGAATGCTGTGCCAGTGATCATGCCAATCAAAGTACCCTGTGGTCTGAGTCCTAACCTTTGCTGTAGAAAACCATCCTTATGGGGATCGTGTGGATGAAAATTTCTAGAAAGAAGCTGTCTGAAAAGTCTGATTCACTACAAAATGTCAACAACTATGGATAGTTCGAATGTCACATGTCCAGAGCCAAATGGTAATTTCTCTTGTGCTATCTCTAGCCCCATAAGCACTTTTCCTTGCCCATCTCTGTATCAGGCCTATAACATCCTGATAAACACATAAAAACCTTTGGAATATAATTAAACTCTTAAAACCCTTTCTCTACCAATAGAAGGGCTTAGAAGCTACCAGATAGCATCTGGGACCTATAGTTGAGATAACCTCTGCCTGCTGTAGCTGCTGACTTAATGGTTCCACCAATGTATTGTTTACATTGCCTTTTATTTATGAATTTCTCTGTTCTGTTGCTATAAAACTCCACAAAACTTTTTGCACTCCACATGGGAACATGGAACCTGGTAACCTAACTTTGTGTTTCCCAAGCCACAGTTGCTCAAGTTTGGCTTCAGAATAAGCTCTTTTGTTACCTTTGATATTCGAGTTGTGGGTTTTTTTATTTGCTTGCTTGCTTGCTTGTTTTTGCATCAACAAATAACTATACAAATACCTACTTCCACTAGAGGATAAAAAAAAGTCCAAAACAGGTCACTGAATCCACTAGACTTTCAACAACTATGAAATTGGAAATGTGATTTTAAAACTTTACATGTGCAATTTTAATATCTATATTTTTCACTAAAAATTGGGAAGGACAATGCTGATACTCAACTGGAATCAGAGTTTCACTGCAATTTTTTTCAGACATACAAACTACCTTATTATATTTTAAATTAATTTTTAATTCATAAGAAAATAAGGACCTCCAAGTCACATAACAGCATCTTTGTGACTTTTCATTGTGTGTCTCATTCTCTGTTTCAGTTAGGCATTTGCATACATCTTCATGAACAGACAGCTCTATAGCACACTGCTTGTAAGTCCAATTTTACCCTAGGACTTACCTGATATTTATGACGTTTCTTTTCCATAATTTCCAGGCTGAATTATTTCTCCTCCCACCTCCCCCTCTGCCTGAGCTGCCGGCTAGCTGTCTTAGTCACCACCATGTGACACTCCTGCCAACCTGGTGTTTTTACCCTCCTTTGTATCTATTCCAGCCCCTCCTTTTATTTAAATAGCTGTGCTCCTTTACTATGGCTAGTTGATATCTAGTATGTGTTTCAAGCCTCAGAGCAGAACTTTATGTATAGTTCCTAGGTTCCCTTGTCCCTCCGAAACCTCATCAACAGGATGATGATATCATCCACCTATTTCAAATTTCAGTGGGTCATTGTACTCCATTCACCACTTTTATTTTCTCAATATATATGTGTATATATATATATATATATACACATATATATATATATTTAAATCTCTCTCCACCCCCTTCTCCCTCTCTATTCTCTCTTCGTGTGTGTGTGTGTGTGTGTGTGTGTGTGTGTGTGTGTGTGTGTATGTGCATGTGTGTGTTCAGTGTGAGAACATGGGCATGTGTGTATATGCGTGTGTCACAGCTTGTATGTAAAGGAAAAGATCCCTTATCCTTCACATGTGCACGAGGATAACTGGTCAATGGGCTTCCATGGATTTTCCTGTCTCCATCTTCCATCTCATTGGGATTATATCTACATACTAGTACATCCAGCTTTATATGGGTTCTGGGAATCCAAACTCAGGTCCCCAACCTTGTCTGGCAAGCACTTTATCTACTAAGTCATCTCCCCAGCCCTTGTCAACCATAAAACACCAATGAAAGTAGCTAACTTATCTCTCATCTTTCCACAAAACACTGCTGTAACATCTACCTGCCACCCTCCACCTTCACTGTGAAATACTCCCCCTCCCCCTTCTCAGTACTTACACGGTTTCCAAGGCTTTCAAGTAGAAACTGCTGTTGTTAAGAGAATTACCACAAGCTACAACAGCCAGGCTCAAAACTGCTGGATTCAATAAAATAGTCTCAACCAGGGGATGCCTGCCTCCTGCCGGAACATTTGGCAAATGAGACATTTTTGGTTGTCATAATATGGCAGATGCAACTAGCATCTATGGGTAGAAGCCAGAGGTGCTAAATATATCACAGTGCCCAAGACAATTCCCATACCAAAGAATTTCCGAACTCAATTTTCAATAATACTGGGGCTGAGGAACTGATTAAAATAGTCTTAAGTAGAATGAAAGAGAGCCACATGCCTGTGTCACTCACTTATGTCTTTAGAAATCTGTGTCTTCTGTGGCAGTTAGAATGTGATGTCCTCCACAGGCTTAGGTATCTGAACACTCTTGGTCCCCAACTGGTGGCTCCACCTGAGAAGAGGGCAAAACTTTTAGGAGTGAGTCACTGGGGATAGCCTTGAGAATTTTCAGCATGGTCCCAGTTCATATCCTCTCTGCTTCTTTTTTTTTTTTTTTTTATTAATTTATTTTGCAATACAATTCAGTTCTACATATCAGCCACGGATTCCCTTGTTCTCCCCCCTCCCGTCCCCCTCACCTTCCCCCCGACCCCCCCCCCCCCCCCCCATTCCCATCTCCTCCAGGGCAAAGCCTTCCGCACAGACTGAGGTCAACCTGGTAGACTCAGTCCAGGTAGGTCTAGTCCCCTCCTCCCAGGCCGAGCCAAACAATCCTGCATAGGCCCCAGGTTTCAAACAGCCAACTCATGCAATGAGCACAAGATCTGGTCCCACTGCCTGGATGCCTCCCAAACAGATCAAGCCAATCAACTGTCTCATCCATTCAGAGGGCCTGATCCAGTGGGGACCCCTCAGCCATTGGTTCATAGTTCATGTGTTTCCATTCATTTGGCTATTTGTCCCTGTGCTTTATCCAACCTTGGTCTCAACAATTCTCGCTCATATAAACCCTCCTCATTCTCGCTAATTGGACTCCCAGAGATCCACCCGGGGCCTAGTCATGGATCTCTGCATCCAGATCCCTCAGTAGTTGGATGAGGTTTCTGACCTACTCTGGTGATGGGATGGCCAAACACCCTAATTGTTGTGCTAGAAACCTCTCTGCTTCTTAACTGTGGATGTAATGTGAGCAGCCAGCTTCCTGCTCCTGCTCCCATGCTTCCCAATTCATGTCAAACTGTGAGCCAAGTAAACCCTTCACCCTTCGATCACTTCTTATCGGGGATTTTGTTGTTGCAACAAGGAAAGTACATAACCAATACACCTTCTGCCCTAGTCTCATAACTGATGCACCCTCTGCCCTAGTCCTGTTCTGCTGCTGTGACAAACTACTTCTATAAAAATCAACTTAAGGAAGAATGGGCTCACTGCAGCTTACAAACCCAAGTTACGGTTCATCATTATGAGGAAGTCAAGGCAACAACTTCAGACAGCCAGTCATATCCCATGCACAAAGAAACGAACACATACAGGCTCATTTGCTTGTGCTCAGATCCATTTCTCCATCTTATACAATTCAGGATTCCCTGCCTAGGAATTGGTGCCAATCACGGTGGACTTGGTCTTCCCAAATCAATTAAGGCAATCAGAAAAGTTATCTAAAAACATGCTCACAGGCCACACTGATCTTCCAAGGTCATTCTAGGTTGTATCATGTTGACAGCTAAAATTAACCACAAGACCCTCAGATCTATTATCGGCCTGTAATGTTAGCTTGTATGTTTTCCTTATGCATTGGATTCTGATATTCAACAGAGATAGGTCTATATTACTCTGTATAAGCCTACATACTTCTTAAGCATGTGAAGTACTTCTATATTGTATTTTACTCTTTATAAGTAGTCCAGGTCTTATTTAACATTGACTTCTGAGAAGATCGTGTAAGGGAGTCCACTCTTTATGTGGTAGAGGAGCATCAGAACACCCAACCTAGACCAGGAGGAAAATAAGAGCCAGTGAGACTGTGCTGTCAGATCCACAGCCCCTGTCAACAGTAAGGTTTACTTTCTCTTTCTCCAGCCATTTTTCCAGACAGAAACTTGGTGTGGACAGGACTTAATTTTATGTTTGCGGCATCCATACCTCTTAATGAGGCATAATCACAGTGTAGACACCCAGAGCTTATTAGATGAATAAATCAGTGGATGAATGTCAACAAGAGACAGACCAGTCCCCTTGGCCATGGTGGGGATACCATGTATGAGTTCAGTAACTAACCAGCTCTAACACCATATGCATACTCCAAAAACTAAGCCAGTGGGGATTTTTGTAAAATAAGAACTCTCCTCAGAGGAGAACAAACAAGTACTAAGAAATCCCAAAGCATATATCTTAGCACAGAAATACTGAGCTGCTTACTATACAGCAGTTATGAGATCCAAATAATTCATTGGCAATAAGATTGTTATATGCCATCAAGGTTAAAGAAAATCTATCCAGAACCTTTAGGAAGATGCCTCTCTCTCTCTTGTCTGCATCTTGTGTCTCTGAGACACAATATGTGGTGGGATCGTGAAGGCTGATGACTTTAAGGCACAGCCTGAGCTAGATTTCTTTGGATAGAATTCATCTGTTATATTGGAAAGAACTTTAAAATGTAACGCTCATTTAAAAAAAATGCCCACTTAAGAAGAATCTCTTAACTTTCCTCTGAGTTCTGGTGTTTTTCAATGACTTTATCTTTCATGGATTATATTGACTTGTTATATGACTGTTAAAAACCTGTCACATCTCATTTCACACACCACTATTTTAAACGATGAGTGATGTCCATACACACACAGAGACAGAGCGTTGATAAGTTGATTTTCTGAAATGAAAGACGTAAGTAGTCATTTCCATTCAGTTCTGCAATTAAAAATACCCTATTGAATTTTCATTATATACATTTTGTTTGTTTGCTTGTTTATAGGGTCTTACTCTGTAGCCCAAATTGGTTTGAACTTATGGCAATTCTCTTGTGTCTGTCTACCTCTCGAGCACTAGGAAATATAGGTGTGAGCCATCAACCGGAATTTTAAATACTGAAATTATGCTAACAACCATAAGGTATATTTGATCAGTCGTAGAAAGCATGTTTAAGGCTGGGTGGCAGTGGTGCACACCTTTAATCCCAGCACTTGGGAGGCAGAGCCAGGCAGACCTCTGTGAGTTTGAGGCCAGCATGATCTACCAGAGCGAGATCCAGGACAGGCACCAAAACCACACAGAGAAACCCTGTTTCAAAAAACAAAACAAAAACAAAAAAGAAAGCATGTTTAAAACATGGATTCCATCTGTGGGGACTATTTGGTATTAATGTGGGCTCCACCCTTGCCCGTACCTAGGTGTCCATGCAAGACAGGACTCCAGTGAAACGTGAATACTGTAGTTAGTGTCCCCAGAATAAAGGCAGCTGCTTCTTGCTGGGTCTCCCTCGCACTCCGAAAGACAGACGATGGGGGGAACTCACACAAACAGAAGGGAAGGTGTGTGAATCTGTTAAATGTGCACAAAGTGCACCTACAAACTACATAAGCAGAACTTCTGCCCTTGTAGGGGATCCTGCCTCGGTAGCAGATAAATAGGTAAACAAATAACTGTAGTAATGGGAGATGAATGGCCTATGAACAAAGAAAAGAACTGGGTCAGAATATTGGCTGAAAAGTAAATACATAAAGAATGAATCAAGGAAAAGTGTTTTGTGCTGAAATACTCTTTCATCAGGCTCTCACAGTGCTTCTTTATTTCTAAGATATGCACAAATAAAAAGCTGGTGGCTTAATTCTCAACCTTTATTTTGTCAGCATTTAATAAATGGAATTACCCCAACTTACATCAGTGAAAGTGTATGCAAATATAAATGATGAGATAAGAGCAAGCCTAATCTGAAATCCTCAGGAAGGATCCAGTTTCCCTTGGAGGACACTCAACTCTCACTGGAATTCTGTTTCTGTCATCCTCGACAACGTTGCATTGTTAATAGACACACTGATTCCACTGTCTGTCAACTGGAGTCCAGGAAACCCATGCACACTCAAAGGACTGGTTCCAGAGGCAAGCAGGGTAATAGCCACATGCTCAGCATGGGCACAGTTTTATTTGACAAGGCAGTATCATTACATATTGCATGTCAAGTCGGAGGAAGTGGCTCAGCAGTTATAGGCACTGTCTGCTCTTGCAGAGGACCAGGGTTCTTTTCCCAGCACCCACATGCTAGCTCACAACCATCTGTAACTCCAGTGCCAGGGGAATCCAATACCTTCTTCTAACCTCTGTGGGCAGCAGGCAGAAACATGGCACATATACAGAGATGCAGGCAAAACATTAATACACATAAAATAAACAATTCTAAAAGAAAAATATCTGAGAACCCTAAGAATGTATCAGTTTATGCCCATGGACCCAGTACTCAGAGGCTGAGGCAGGAGGATTTCATGGGTTTGAGGTCAGCCTTGGCCACATAATGAGTTCCAGACCACCCTGGAAATACAGGCCAGTCAGTCTATAGGCTACAGATTCAGACCTGTCTCAATCATTCATTCATTCAATTAATAAGTAAATCTTTCAGGAAATCAACCCAAATATCAAAATTGCCCAGTGAACTGCACATGGGTGTAGATGTATCCAACCTTCTTATTAAATAAGAAACACAGAACCAATGCAAAGAAGAAAGCCAAGAGGTCAGAGCTAAGAGCTAAAACCTTACCCTTCCTCCTGTGGTGGTCCTACCTCTCCGAACCAGAGCTACCCCTGTGTTAAAGTCTTTATATAGAGTTCCTGTCCTGCCTTCTCATTGGTTGTAAACCCAATCACATGACCGCCTCCTCACAGCCTGTCTGTATAGGCCTCCAGGTTTTCCATGATTGGTATTAAGATTAAAGGCATGTGTATCCAATAATGGCTGTATCCCTGAACACACAGAGACTTACCCAGCTCTGCCTACCAAGTGCTGGAATTACAAGCGTACACTACCACTGCCCTGCTTTCCTATGGCTTGCTAATAGCTCTGACCCCCGGGCAACTTTATTTATTAACATACAAATAACATTTTAATACAAATAAAATATCACCATACATGGGGACTATCGTTTCTATTTGAGTTCACTCCTAAAGCCAGGCTATGGTAGTGGGTCCTACTGCTCGAGGACCACAGTTGACCAAGTCAAGTTTTTATTCCAGGCAGCCTTTGTCTACGAGGACACTAGAAAGCAACAGATTTGCCCCAGAGTGGTTCCCTGTAAACCTAGCTAACTTTTTACCTGCAAGTTGCACTGAGGCGAATTTAAAATTTCTCCCAATAATATCATATGTGTGTGCTAAGTACACACACATCCATACATAGAGTGATGCTCATCAAACCCAGTAAGATGGGTCCCGCTCACTGGGACTTTTGTGACAGCCCCTGCTTGT